TACACGCCTCTGCTAATGAATGTTAAAAGGTTAAGTTGTCTGATTCTGAAAGTTCTTTTAGATCTCGGGACTTAATTTTGTTGCTACGGTTATGGCGAAGTACAGTCTAGTACGGTTTGATGAGTTTTGTGATAGTGGTTTGCAGGCAATTGATAAGAGCATGATCCCGAAGAAAATGTGAGTTCTCGTGTTTTCAAACCTCTTTTCTTGATAAAGATTTTTCTTTTCCTTGAGGACAAGCAAAGATCTAAGTCGGGGGGAGTTGATGTGTTGTGTTTTTATCGGTTTTGAGTCTTTGTTTTAGGTGTCGTTATGAGTCATTAGTCATGTCTAGTCCATCTTTTGCGTCTTTTTGGTCTTGTCTTGAGTCTTTTACAGGTCATAGGTGTTTGAGCGGGATTTGGAGATTTTCGTGCATTTTTGGACTTGTTCGGGTCAAAACAGGAGAGAGAAGTTGATTTTGCAGACACAGCCAGTTAGACCGACCAGTCACAAACTAGACCGATCAGATGCCAACTAGACCGATCGGTCCAAAGCTGAAAACGTGGACCAGAGCCGGTTGGACCGATCGGTCCTCCACTAGACCGATCGGTCCAGAGCTTCGACGTCGGGACAGAGAGGGTTGGACCGATCGGTCCACACCTAGACCGATCGGTCCGGAGCTTCGACGGAGAGCAGATTTGGTTGGACCGATCGGTCCTCCTCTGGACCGATCGGTCTGATTTCCTGACGCCTGGTTTTGGTTTTCCTTAACCGGATTTATCTTCTATTTTCTGTACTTGGGTATAAAAACCCCAGAAACCTAATTTTCTTTTTACGTTCTTTTCTCTGCAACTTTTGAGACTTCTCTTTGTAAGCTTTATGGGATTCTAGAGATTCATCCTCTTTGACACTTTGGAGAAGATTTCTAAACCCTTATTCTTATTTATCAATTCAATTATGCTTTCCTTTCAATCTATTTGTCTTGTTTCTGTTGTTATGTGTGAGTAGTCTTTTAATTGGGTTTTAGGGTTCTAATTAGGAGATTCAATGGATTAATGGATTGATTGTTATTAGGAATTTCATTCTTTAGGTTCTTTGATTCACATGTTCTTAATGCTAGAATAGGATTGATCACCCTGTTGTAGATTCTAGGTTTTTCTATGCATCAAAAGTGTTCGATAGAATGCCTGAAAGAATGTGAATTGAGCAATGTATTTCTAGCCAACGAAAGTTGACGTTAGGACGCATTGTGAACTTAATGAACTTGTTTGGTAATGCGAATTTGATTAGGAAATTGCATGCGAAAGTTTAGTAATCGAATAGTCAAATTTAGTGATTAATGTCTTGAAAGAGAATTGGTCTAAATGTGTTCATGTTCGAGAACGGTTCTTTATTATTGAATTCCTGGTTTCATGTTTCCATTATTCGTTGATCTCTGAAATACCCTAATGCCCAATGTCTTTAAATCTTGGAGTTCAATCGTTTTATTTATTAGCATTTTTATTTTACAATCTGAAAACCAAACAAACAACCTTTCCGCTTTAGCTAAGAACGAGTCTCGGAAATCTTTAGAGTATCTTTGGTCCTTGTGGATCGACCTCGAATATACTACCTAGCGGTTAGATATTTCGGGTAATTACTCGAGCAATCACGTCACATGAGAATGTCTTCTCATATTCGGACTTTGTAATATTGCTAACTCAGCATCAATATTTCATTGTAAATAATCCATATATATTGCCTTAAGATAGAAAGCATCATTGTTATCATATAAAATACTTAAATAAAAAAATTTACTGTATAATCCGTCCAATTCTAAAAAAAAATTGTTGGTATCTTCATTAGAATTTTATATTTAAAGTTGATTAAATCTTCTCTATTTTTATAATCGTTCAAAAAAACTTTGGTTAAATCGAGAATGAAAATAATTTTTTTAATATTAAAATGATATGTTTATAAATAATTTAGAGAATAAAGAATTTGGAGCCATCTTACAGATTTTTTTTTTGGATTCATCATGAAATAAATAATCTATGTTAAAGAAGAAAAATTTGGGAATTACTTAGGAAGAAGGACAAATACATAGAGTTCAAAAGTCACGAACATTTAAATAGACAACTATTCATACAAAAAGTTGTGACAAAAAAATGCAATGAAATATAGTGAAGAGACGTAACTTTAAATGAATATATGCAACTATAAAGACACAACCGTAAACTGAAAAAAATATGACTATAATTGAACAAATAGAACTGTCTCAAAAAAATAACCGTCTATATTTAACCGAAAAGATGCGATAAAAAACATAACTTAAAAATAACCGTCAATATTTTAATGGAAATTTACGATAAAAAGACACAAACGAAAAAATAACCGTCAATATTTCAACAGAAAGTTGCGATGAAAAGACACAACCGAAAATATAACCGTCAACGAAAAAAGTAACTATCAATATTTTAACGAAGAGTTGCAATAAAAAGATACAACCGAGAAAAAATAACAGTCAATATTTTAACTGAAATTGCGATAAAAAGACACAAACGTAAAAAGTAACCGTCAATATTTTAACGAAAAGTAACGATAATAAGGTACAACCGATAAAAAAATAACCGTCAATATTCAAACGGAAAATTACGATAGAAAGACACAACCAAAAAAGTAACCGTCAATATTTTAACAAAAATTTACGATAAAAAGACACAACCAAAAGAATAACCGTCAACAAAAAAAAAGTAACCGTAATTATATTACCGAAGAGTTGCGATCAAAAAGATACAACCGAGAAAAATAACCGTCAATATTTTAACGGAATGTTGCGATAAAAATAACAACCGAGAAAAATAACCGTCAGTATTTTAATGGAAAGTTGCGATAAAAAGACACAACCGAGAAAAAATAACCGTCAATATTTTAACGAAAAGTTGCGATAAAATGACACAAACGAAAAAAGTAACCGTCAATATTTTAACGGAAAGTTGCAATAAAAAGACACAACCGAAAAATAACCGTCAACAGAAAAAGTAACCGTCACTATTTCAACGAAAAGTTGAAAAAAAAAACAAGAAACTAACCGTTAATTTTTTAACGGAAGTTGCGATAAAAAGACACAACATTTATTGAGATTGGTATTATATATAGATTTAATCTTTCATTATGTCAGAAATAACCCCATACGTTTCTCGGTTTCGAATCAATTGTAACGTAAAAACGAAATAAACACATCAAACTACTTGAAGAGGGTCATATTTATCTGAATGGCGCTCCAATTTTTTAAAAGTTTGTTTTCTCTCCTTCTTCTCTTTTATCCTCTTGAATTACCAAGTATGATCAAGTCTTGGAATTTATTGTTCTTGTGCTATTGTGCATGCTTGTTTCGTAATTGATTGTCATTTATTCAAGATTTATCACGTTTCTTGTTAGTTTTCGTTTCCGATTATAATTTGTTAAAATCCGGTGAAGATCCAGTCACAACTCGCCGAAAACCGGTATGAAAGTGATTTCAATGATATTTCGGTGCCTAGTTGCGATGTATTGGCTCTATTTGACGGTTGGGATACGGTGGTTGTAGTATATGTTTAATTTGTAGCATGCATACAAGTTTACAAATGTTAATAACGCTCTATATACTCGTTTCTATTTTTACAAACTTTAATAACGTTATATATACGTCTATACATGCATACAAATGTTAATAACCCTTTCTATATATGTATTTAAATGTATACATAGATCCAATACCATAACACTATAATTAATTTTAATGTTCTATATATGTGTTTACATATGCACAAATGTTAAAATTGTTTAATACTCCCTCTTTTTCAAATTATACGATGTTTTAGTTAAAAACACACAATTTCAGGAAAAAAATTTCTTTAAAAACTATCATTTAATGCTTGATTTAAGAAAATTCAACCAATAAAATGCAAGACGGCAAAATATAAATAATCATAAATACCAAATCATTTATAATTTTCATAGAAAATTGTAAAACATAATTTAATGAAACAAAATAAAATTCCTAAAACATCTAATATAAGGAAACAAAAGGAGTATATGTTAATAGCATGTTAAAATATCTCTAATATGAGAAAATAATAATTAATGTTAGTCTAACCGTTATTGGATGCATGTCAACTTGTTCATTCTCATTGCAGGTGAGTCATTTCACCTGGCAAGCATTAAATATCTGTCAACTCGTTCCTTCTCTCGCCCAAAAAGTCAACTGAACGTATCACATGGGCAAGGTTAAAGTAGATGCCGTTTTTCTATATTTTTTTCCAACTTCAAACTTATTTGTTCAATTTATTTGTTCATCTACCTAAAAATTAAATTTCGTTGAGCTAATTATTTACCCCATTATTGTCTCTCAGCTAAACGAAATTTATTTTTTTAATTGACAATGTAAATTTTGATTAAAAAAATATTCGGTTGTAAAAATAATTAAAATGATAAAAATAAATTCTAACGGAATATTATAGAAAATATTTTAACAAATTGTAATATTATGTGTTCATAAATGTGTAATATTCTATATAATTTTGACAAATTATGATATTGTTTGTTCATAAAGTCCCTGAAGAACGGCTCCTTAACTAAGTTTTGATTTAGTATTTCGTAAAAGCTTTTTGTTTTGTAGTTTATAATAGGGTTTAAGCATATGTTTGAATTGCACTTCTTGTCTGTTGTTGTTGTGTGTAAAATAAAGAAAGAAGCAGTGAAGGAATATAACATGTGGCTTGTTTCTAAAAACATTTTGCAGTCGCAGTTTATTAAATTACAAAGTTTTCATCTCATGGAACTACACAAAATAAGAGTTGTCGCAACAAATCCAACCCTAACCCTCAAAATCAAGAAGCTCTATCTGTTACTAGGTTTGAAACGCAGTTTCAAAGGAAGAGAGGAAGGAAATTACGGGAAAGAATCTATAATTAAACCAAGTAATTTTATGGTTTTGAAATTCTTCTATAAACGAAGCTTTATGATGTCTTTACATTTGAAACCAACGCTTCCATTTTCATTCGTAACTCAATTTATCTAGGAGAATTTCTGCTTTCCATGTTAATAATAAGCTAAATCAGTAAGAAATTCAAACGCAAATAGAGTAACCCAAGAGAAACTGAAGATAAATGAAACCACACTAAAAAAGTTGTTCATGGTCAACATCATTATCTTTGACGGATCTAACAGAGGATCTAATGCAAAACCAAACCAACAAAAGGGAAGAACACAAAGAGATCATCACAGCTAGATGATCAACAAAAGAAGACTAAGGTTTTGTTTCTTCATGCACAAGAAACAGATAAGTCGTCAAGCGAAGGAAGAAGAGCAACTTCAGCGTTTTCTGAGACAGAGTATTTCTTAAACACTGCGGTTAGCGTAATCTCTGAAGCCGAGTCCCTTAACTTCATCAGCATTTTCGCATGTTCCCTGAAAAAAAACCCAAACCAAACCATTGTTAATTCATGACTGCCAAAAATGAAAAAGATCTGTAACATAAAGCAAGAATTAGGTTAGATTAGCATACATGATCTCATCTTCCAAGTAGCCAGTGTGATGTTTCAAAGTCTCAGTCCAAAATGGCGTCTTCTTAAGGATTTGACGTGCAGCATAAACCGATGATGCAGCCAGCATCGATGGACGGTGTAAGACAACTATGGGATACTGCATAAGTCCCAGCTCAGCTAGATAAAACACCAGTTTCTCCATCTCAATGTCACATGGAACCGAAGCTTTAACATACCGCGCAAGGAACACATACGGTGTTGGAACTGTGATATACCATTCGACTTTTCCTAAGATTGATTTCTCCATAGCCAAAACCTGTTTCCTGCTATAGGCATTGTCCGAAATACAGACGAAATCATTAACCTCAGGAGCCCAAATCTCTTCATACTTGCAAGCTATAAGCATAGCGCTTAGTCCTAACAGCTGAAGCTCTCTTCTAGGAACCATTGTCAAAGATAGAAACCGATCAACGAGGTTAATGGTAAGGTAAAGTGTCTCTGGCATCAACTCAAACTTCCTGTGAACATCTACAAGCCAATCGATCAGAATTGATCTCATCTTCTCGTTTATCTCAGGCTGTGATCCAATATAGTCTTTGATTCCTCCTTCCTCTTCTACAGTCCTATAAAACTTGAAGATGTCCTCTACATATTCCACAGCAGCCAGTTCGTTGTTAGCATCGGCAGCATCAATGTCAATCACAGCATCCTTCAGTCCACTCGCAGCCTGTTAGACAATGAAACAGAGGAGTTAGATCATCAAACATGGTGAATCTCATCAAAAGATTAGAAATTTAAGATACCTTGCTTCGAGCTCTTAAGGTTGCGGTGAAAGTCTTTGTTCCTCTTATATGAGTTCTTCTGCTAAAATGTGGTTTGCAGCTTTTCTCGTTTTCGTCAGGGCTAATGACTATAACCTCGGCTTTTGTCTGCGGTTTCACCTTCTTTGCAACATCCTGAGTAGATAAATACTTTTATGAGTTCCAAATTTGAGTGAAAACAGAACATAATCAACAAAAGAAGTCAGACATGTTTAAAATCACCTTTCCGGGTACAATATCACGACCAGTGACGAGATTACCAATGTCTCCAAGAACTTTTCGGTTTTGTCTTCCATGTCCCCCAACATTCTTCTGTTTGATTTCACCTAACAAATTCAATTATAGCAAAAACCCATCAATATTAGCCTAATAGAAACTCGAAGTCTTGTCAGATCAGACCGAATCATGAACACTCAGTACAAATTCTATATCAAAACTGCGTCAATTTTCCAAGGGATAATTTCAATCTGAATCAAAATAATTGGAAATTATATACCAAAATCAAAACTTTAAGACACAACACATCAATCGATCAAGATCCGTAACAAATTTGTATCAAAATTGCGTCAAGTTTCTAAGAGGTAATTTCAATCTCAGTCAAATAGAAAACAAAATTCCACAAGAACCCACGCAATTGCAAGAAATCAAAAGATAAAATCAAAGAAAACAATTCCCAAAATTTTAAGATACAACAGATCAACTAATCAAAGATCGAGAAAGAAAAACCTGCAATTCCACGTTGATGAAGAAGATCAGAGACTCTAGACGACGCCATATCTGAACCTTGTTGTTCGTTTTCGTCTTCTTCTGTGATCTGAAGTAACGCTCCTCCAAGACTCGTTAACAGAGAAGAAAAGAAATCCCGGAGACGACTCTTTCCCGTCCCGGCTTCGACCCAACCAGACGCCACTCTTCTGTTCAAAATCTCTCGTTTCTTCTCTCAGAAAAAAAAAACCCTAACTTTTTCTCGACTGTGAAATTGCGGATGGTGAAGATTTGTGATTGAGGAATGACACTGTTTTATTTTAAAACGGAAAAGTTTTAGCTCTCTCTAACGGTCATGTTTTTTTGAATCGAATCTTGACCGTTGGTTTGACTTTTAATTAAGATCTAACGGTTTAGATTGAGTGTTAGTCATAAAAATGTTAAATTTTTAATTACTAGCCGTTGGGGACGAGGAGCCTTACGTGTGTGTGGAGCGGAGGTTTATAAGACTAAACATAATAAATTTGCTTTAAGTTAAAGTAGTCTCTTTCCATTTTTCTGTTTAATACAGAATTACAGATTGCATTTATGAATAACAGAAAAACTAAAATAAATTGAATATTTAAGAATTTAAAGAAAATATGATTTTAAATAATAATTAATGTCGAAATAAACGAATTTTAAAATTTGTGATGAAAAACAAGAACTTTCGATATGTCATTTAAATCGTAAAGCTTAGTTTGAGTTTTTGATAAAATGGTCAAATTTCGTTGACTTAGCCATTTCGAGCATGTCGTTCATCAGACGTTCACAAGGTTAACAATCCGTTAGAAGTCTCCGTTAAATTAAAACAACGTCGTTTTTTTAAGCTTTCAAACGACGTACGTTTCATTAGAAAAGAAAAAAAATATTGTGTCCGCAAGGAATCAAACTGCTGTTCTGTTTTGACTCATAAGAGACTCTCAACCGTTTAGCTATGATAACATTTTGGTATTAGAACAAACAAAACGTATATATACTAAATAATAATAATATACAATTAATTAAAATTTTATGCAACTAAAAACATCAATAACAAAACATATACAAATATTAAATATAGTTACATAAATATATATTTCAAAATTTCAAATATTTAATTTTATATTTAAAGATTTCTTATATATTTAGAAAATTATTCTTTCCTAAAGTAAAAAAAAAAAAAAAAAAAAACTGAAACTTATGAAATATTGAAAATTAAATATATGATCTAAAATCTATACAATCCTTCTCATATAATATATGATTGATTTATACAAGTACATAAATTTTAGTTAATTTAATTTTATAAATAATTTTGTTTATAATAAAATTCATATATTTGTATTTTATATTATAATATATATTTAATAAATATAAACATAATTATTCCATCTTGAAATCGATGTGATATTCATATGAAAATATATAAAAAGAATCATTTTAATAAAATTATAAGAAAACGTGATAATTGTAGTGAATGACACATAACTAATCCTATATTAATATGAGAAGGATTTGTATAATTTTAGATCATATATCTAATTGTTGTCAAGTGTCTTTTTATATTCTATCTCTTTCTGCTTAATAATGTTTCTTTGTAAGTAATTCATGATTTTTTGTCAATGTAATCCATGTCTTTTGGCTTTTAATGAGAGAATCCAATCCTTATCTATTAATTATGTAAATATAATGTTTGTTTGGAGTCCGACGATTTCAACCACTCATTTTTTTATAAATAGAGACTCCTACTTCCATTGTTGTATCAATACTACAAATCTCATCATACTAAAAAATAATATCAATATGGATTCATCAGAATTTCATTTTGATATCGAAGTTTACAAAAGGCAGTCTCAAATTGAAGAGAAGTATATTTTGAACCGGTTTAGAGAGCGTCGAGACGATATAGAAGAAGACTATGCACCTCATAGCAAGAGAAAATACTTCAAGAGAGATCATGTAGCTTTGGAAGTGGTCAACAAAGAATGGAATGAATTCAAACAATTCAAGGAGCAAGAGCTTGAAAGATTGGACAAAATCACCATGAGACAAGAGGAGACAAACCTAATAATGAAAGAAAGGACTGAAGCTAAGAAAATGAAGATGTTTATGAAGCTAAGTGAAGAAGAGCATCTCGATGACTATAGCAAAGAGTTGTTGAAGAAATTAAACGATGATATATTCAGAAATTAATTAGTGTCAAATGTTTGTCTGTATTCAATCTTTTTCTACTTTAATAATGTGTGTTACTTTTTACTTTAATAATGTGTGTTTGTTACTTTCTGGTTTAATAATATTTTTTATCACTAATCCATGACTTTTTCGTCAATATATTCCCGGACTTTTCAGGTTTTAACGGGAGAATTCAATCGTTATCTAATAACTAGATCCATTATTGCCCGTAACAATTATACTTTCTGTCCATTCCAATTTTATTTTGTGAAAAATAACATACAATGAGAAACTAACCATGAGTCCATGACTTACTTTGCTTATCTGGATAATGGACCGAATAATAATTGTTACGGCCCAATAACGGGTGGACCGACGAATAATTGTTACGTGGATAAAAGAGAAAGAGACCCAAAGAGAATTAGATTTAGGCATTTAGCCGTTTGTTAAATAAAAGCTTCTTCAGCCGACTTTCACCAAAAATTCGTTTATCTTCTTTCTTTCTTTTTTTTTTTTCCCGTTGAACGTTTTCCTTCGTCCCCTGAACCCTTCAATTTAAAGTTTAACGGACGGTGGATTTCTCCGCTCTTGTTGGTCGAGCCGCAGAGGAATATTTTCTTTCTCTCAAGGATCTCCGCTACGCCTCTATGCGCTCCCCAAGTGGTTTGTCTTTCTCTGTTTCTACAAGTATTTCAAAGTGAAGCTTTCTTTAATTGGAATCAGATATGGTGCAAGATTAGGGTATTAGTTTTGAACAAATTTCCCGTAGGATGATTTATAGACTTTGAATGGAATTAGAAGATCCTTTTGTGTCCTTGATGGGTTTTTGTTACTAACTAACTGTGTTGTCAATGATCAAGTAAAGACTCTAGTATTTGCGTTTCATGTGATATTAAGACTGTAGCATAAGTCTCTCACTGTCCCTAGAAGTACCCTTGATCTGATGCCATGTTTAAATTTGCTTCTGACAAGGGAACAACAGAGAGTTTCAGTGTTTTCGTACTTATGTTGAGATTTCCCTGTTTTGCAAAGAACCGGTGGTGAAAAATTGTTGTATGCTTATGCTAATAATCATTTTATTGAATTTGAACATATACTCTATTTGATTGAATGTTATGTGATGTTGGATTTCAGGCTTCATGTATGGTCAGATAACAAAGACATGCTCTTAATGCTGGATTGTGTCTTCTGAGGAACCCGTGACGTCAATGATCGAGTAAAGACAGTGGTAAGTGTCTATACCAAGTAGTAAATGTAATATTTGCGTTTCATCTGATATTAATATAGTTTTGTTGTGTCACAGCTAGAGCATGAGAGAAAGATATTACAACTCAGTGACACATGAGGCACTTGAAAGAGTTTTTCAATGAACACAGGGCAATACCGTAAGTCTCTACTATCCCTAGAAGTAGATCTGATACCATGTTTGAATTCGCTTCATGATAAAAAGAGAGATTTTTGGGTTTCATAAATTGATTTTTAGTGTTGACGAGAACACAGAGAGTGTCAATGTTTTCCTTTGTATATCAAATCTGAATCCTCTTAATCTGAACAAAAACAATACATGTTGAGGGATGAATTTAACTTTTGTTTGTAGATAAGTTAAGTTTACAAATTTACTAATTGTTTTGGATTTACTTTTGTTATAGGAAGATTCTTATTTCCTCATGTATGTGCTTTTGAAGGTGTTCAAGGAGATTTCAAGTGTAGCAAACTTCTTTAACAGGTATATGTTTTCAAACCTTTTTGTTTATGTTTTTATTTTCTTTTCAAACTTGTTTGTAATTTGTTGATACAATTATGAAAATCACAAGTGAGAGACACATACGTCAAGTATAGACTAATTTTGATTTGCTCAGGTTTGTGCCTCTAAAGGTGTTAATTTCTCTGTGATGCCAAGTAGATTTCTAAGTGTATCAGAATTTATTACCAGGTATATAAGATTTTGGTGACTTTCCAGTGATAAAATTATTTTATTACATGTGAAAATTTACAAATTAGAAGTAAAGAAATTGGAAATGCAGGTCTAAGCACCATTCATAATTTAAAATGTTTTTTATATTAGCTGTCTCAATAGCATTAGTGCATTACTGTCCTTGATCTATCTTTTAAATTCTATGAACTTATTTGCTAACATAGTTAGTCTCACCATCTCATCGCATTCTCTCAGGCATGGTCTATGATTTCCAAATTGACGGAGGAGAAGGCTTTTGCTACTCAACAAAGTCAGAAGCTCCGACTGGAACTGGTACGCGTTTCATTGATAAAAAATGTTGATTTTGCTTTGGGTATTGAACATTATATTGTGTTTTAAAATTTTGATTCTCTTTGTTTTCAATGCTTGTGTATCATATGGTCTCTCATTCTATAAAATGGATGCATCTTAGAGTTTCTTGTAGATATTTATTTGACATATGTGCGATTTCTGCAGATTTGGATTGTAATTTCCTTGAATCTTGAAAGTATTTGTTTTGCGTTATGCTCTAAACCTTTCGTGATTGTTATAAACATGTGAATGAAATCCTAGAATTCTGCATCATATACGAAGAAAAGGTAGATTTTACTTTGGCTATAGGGATATTACTTTGTGAGTTTAAATCACTTATTATCTGTCTTTTGGTGTTTGTATGTATAATAAGTCTGTCATGTTATGAAATAGATGCATCTTGGAGTATCTTGTAGATACTTATTTTGAATGTATGTGATACTCCTACAGATTATGGTCGTAGTATTCTTGAATCTCGAATTTATTGATTTTGCTATAGGGACATTACATTGTGTGTTTAAAACACTTATTATCTCTGATTTGGTGTTTATTTGTATATAAAGTCTCTCATTTCATGAAGTAGATGCTTCTTGAAGTATCTTGTAGAATGTATGTGATGCTCCTGCAGATTATGGTAGTAGTATTCTTGAATCTCGAATGTATTGATGTTGTGTTAGTATTGGTCATATTGGTCACAATGATACCAAAAGGAAAGTATTGTGTGCATATTGGTCACGATGGTTGATAGTCTAATTGTGTTTTGATCATTATTGTTTACCATTGTGACTTTTGCATCTTGCGTCTTGGAATAGTTAGTGTGGTAAATTGATCAAAGTTTATAGGGAATGCTCTTGTATGTTTATCTCAAATTATACCCCATAGTCTAAACCACAATATTAGATTTTCAATTTATAATACACTCATTAATTAAGATTCTTTCCATAATACGAAAAGGAGACAAATAAATCACTAAATTAATTTGGTTAATTATTTGCCAACTAAAGAAACACACAGTTACTCTACGATTTAACAAATCATATATTTTTTATTTCCAACATAGCTAGCGATGTTTGTATGGATTATGTGGTATTTGTAGAAAGCCAGGAATAATAAGGTGTTTAATAATATAGACCAAAGCCCAATTGATATATTAAGACTGGCAGTAAATGAAGAGCAAGCTTGGCAGTTGGCTCATGTAGAGATCTCGGATGATAACCTAGAAACGGTGGTAACAAATAATCAATCTCATTTTAGAGTGGAACATATCGGGCAAAGTAGATCAAGTTATCGATGTTTCTTAGGTGGTTCTTGGAAAGAAAGCGATTGTTTTTCAGTATTAAGATGGTTTTGTTCTTTACTAAACGAAGAAACGCACGACATGGGAGCTGCAAATACTCGAAGAAGCTTGACCTCACTCCACACAGAGGTTGAAGTACTAATCTAGGCGATGAGATATATGATCGGCCAAGATAAAAGAGAAGTAGTTTTCATTAGAGACTACTCCGACCTAGTGAAGATGGTGTCTTCCCCACAAGAGTGGCCAACATTCGCGACTTACTTGGAGGTGATTGAGAGCGACAAGGAAGAGTTTGATATTTTCTCTTTATCGTTAGTTTCCCGAAATTTGAATATATAGGCGGATAAACTGGCACGAAATGTTCGTATCCTACCGTATCTTTCTACTTATGTAAATAATATTCCTCCACATTGGAAATGAGCCAATCCAATAAAACTGTTGAAAAAAAAAAAAAACATAGCTCATTTATTATCTCCTTTGTAGCCTAAAAATTGCAGAATAAACCGCATATCATCTTTTACTCGATTTAGAACGTTTCCATCAAAACTCGTCATATTTGAAAAATGTTTTGAATTGGATTCCCGATTCCACAAACAATAGAAAGTCTGAGAAAAGTTTACCACGCATCTTTTTATTAAATGTCAAATCGTCAATCCATTCTCAATTCATTGCACTCGTACGGGGTTTGGTATATTGACACTAAATAGCACATTGTAATTGACTTGGTGGTGACTGAGAACAGAACAGAACATAAAAAAGCAAAAGAAAACAGAAAAAACAAAAACAAATTTAGAGATAAATGAGTTAAATTTATATTAACACGTGTTGGGTAATCTACCTAGTATAAAAGATTAGAGTCACTCAAGAATCAAGACTCCTTACGCCACCACCACACAAAGCAAAAACAATGGAGCACAGAAAGGTAAGAGGGAACGGCATAGACATCCACGTGGCAATCCAAGGTCCCTCCGATGGTCCTATAGTCCTCCTCCTCCATGGCTTCCCTGAGCTTTGGTACTCATGGCGCCACCAGATCCCCGGACTCGCCGCTCGTGGCTATCGTGCTGTGGCTCCTGACCTACGTGGTTACGGTGACTCCGACGCTCCGGCGGAGATCTCTTCCTACACATGCTTCAACATCGTAGGTGACTTAGTCGCCGTCATATCCGCCTTAACCGCCTCCGAGGATGAGAAGGTGTTTGTGGTTGGACATGACTGGGGAGCTCTCATCGCTTGGTACCTTTGTCTTTTCCGACCAGATAAAGTCAAAGCTTTGGTCAACCTAAGTGTTCCGTTCTCTTTCCGTCCAACGGATCCATCCGTGAAGCCCGTTGATCGCATGCGTGCTTTCTACGGCGATGATTACTATATCTGCAGGTTTCAGGTTTGTTCTTTATACTCTTCTAGCTAATTACTTGAAGTTGAAGGAATCTTTAGCTATTAGGTTATATGGTGGAGTGTAGGAAGTTGGAGATATAGAATCTGAGATTGCAGAGGTTGGAACAGAGAGAGTCATGAAGAGGATACTCACTTATAGAACTCCTGGACCAATTATTATCCCGAAAGACAAAAGCTTTTGGGGACCGAAAGACGAAACTATACCTCTACCTTCTTGGCTAACGGAGGAAGATGTTACTTACTTCGTTAGCAAGTTTGAAGAGAAAGGCTTCTCTGGTCCAGTCAATTACTACCGTAACTTTAACCGGTAAGTTTGAATAAGACAAGTGTTGTCCCTATATTGTGTAGGCAGAAGTGTGAATGGGTCTTGTAATGGCAGGAACAATGAGCTGTTGGGTCCATGGGTGGGAAACAAAATCCAGGTGCCTACAAAGTTTGTGATAGCGGAGCTTGACTTGGTCTACTATATGCCTGGTGTGAAGGAATACATAAATGGTCCCAAGTTTAAAGAAGACGTGCCTTTGCTTGAAGAGCCTCTGGTCTTGGAAGGAGTGGCTCACTTCATTAACCAAGAGAAGCCTCAAGAGATTCTCCAAATTATCCTTGATTTCATCTCCAAATTCTAATCTTGTTTTCTCTTAAATCATTCTTGTAAGTTCCATAATAAGTTGAATTATGAGGATATATCCTCATGTATTTCGTTATATCATCCTATGTAATATATGTATTAATACTAAAGTTGGATGCGTGCATAACATGTGACATTCTTCTAAGTTATAATAAGGTAATAGCACATTGTAATAGACTTGATGGTGACTGATAACAGAACAGAACATAAAAAGCAAAAGATATCTGGAGTCCTTTAGGGAAGCTTCATGATCTTCTGGGAGCTAGAGGTACCATTGATATGGGCGTGACTATTCACGCCTCTTTTGCGGAATTGTTGGAATCACATAGGAGACGGCGTCACCGAGTGAACACACTTAACCAAATCGAGGATCAGCTGGAAAATATTCGTTTGACTAGAACAGGATAGGCTGACCGCTCCCTTTGGTGTTTCAAAGATGATAGATTCAAGAATAAATTCTTATTAAAGCACACTTGGCAGCAGATACGAGAGCATAAGCCGAGGTGTGAATAGTATAAAGGAGTGTGGTTCCGGTTTTCAACTCCAAGGTACTCATTCATAACCTGGCTAGCGTTCCATGATCGTCTAGCTACAGGTGACAAGCTCAGGTCATGGAATGTGGGTGCTCAAGTTGGTTGCGTTTTCTGTGGAGAAAGCTTGGAAACAAGGAGTCTATTACGAAGAAGAAGATGAGAATAGTTTGTTAGAGTTTTCAAATGTTGACTTTCTCATTATTGTAAAACATCACTGTACAAAAGTATTTATACTACAGCTATACAATTGGTTAAGTTAAACCGAATAACTAAACCTACTAAACCAAGATATAGAATCTGATAGAGTCATCTGTTTTTCTCCTGCCCATACTCTTCTCAAGTTTGGTTGTCCCTCAGGAAAGGTATCCTTCTTAATCGATACACTACAAAATGGAATTCACTCACGCCACACCTTATTAATACGTCTCAGCCGAAACTTCAACTTTTCACTATAAGGTATGTGTTCCAACTAACAGATCCATACATTATGGAGAGAACATAATGGAAGACGACATGGTGAAGGTCCTATTCCATGTGCCAAGCTCATTCGACTTATTGATAAGAATATCCGCAACCGTTTCAGCATCATTCGTTCAATGGGTAAGAATATGATAAAGGTCTTCGCTATTGGTTTAGCACTCATAGCCACTAGACTACGTTTGTCATTGTAATCCTCATTTTAAATCATTTTCATTTTGAAAATTTTGATGTTCAAAACTACATTTATTGTGAAAATATCTTTTTGGTGAATAAATTTTACATTCATTAAAAAAAAAAACAAAAAAGAAGAGATAAATATAAAAAAAATCTTCTAGAAATAAATGAGTTAAATTTATATTAACACGTGTTGGGTAATCTACCTAGTATAAAAGATTAGAGTCACTCAAGATTACATACGCCACCACCACACAAAGTAAAAACAATGGAGCACATGAAGGTAAGAGGAAACGGCATATATATCCACGTAGCAATCCAAGGTCCCTCCGATGGTCCTATAGTCCTTCTCCTCCATGGCTTTCCTGAGCTTTGGTACTCATGGCGCCACCAGATCCCCGGACTTGCCGCTCGTGGCTACCGCGCTGTTGCTCCTGACCTACGTGGTTACGGTGAATCCGATGCTCCCGCTGAGATCTCTTCCTACACATGCTTCAACATCGTAGGTGACTTAGTCGCCCTCATATCCGCCTTAACCGTCTCCGAGGATGAGCAAGTGTTTGTGGTTGGACATGACTGGGGAGCTCTCATCGCTTGGTACCTTTGTCTCTTCCGACCAGATAAGGTTAAAGCTTTGATCAACCTTAGTGTCCCGTTCTTACGTACAACCGATCCATCCACGAAGCCCGTTGATCGCATGCGTGCTTTCTACGGCGATGATTACTATGTCTGCAGGTTTCAGGTTTGTTCTTTATACTCTTGTAGGCTTGTAGCTAATTACTTGAAGGAAAAGTTAGTTACTAGGTTAGATGGTGGAGTGTAGGAAGTTGGAGATATAGAAGCTGAGATTGCAGAGGTTGGAACAGAGAGAGTCATGAAGAGACTACTCACTTATAGAACTCCTGGACCGGTTATTATACCGAAGGACAAAAGTTTTTGGGGATCCAAAGGCGAAACTATACCTCTACCTTCTTGGCTAACGGAGGAAGATGTTGCTTACTTCGTCAGCAAGTTTGAAGAGAAAGGCTTCTCTGGTCCAGTCAATTACTACCGTAACTTTAATCGGTAAGTTTGAACAAGAATAATGTTCTTTATTGTTTAGGAAGAAGTGTTGAATGGGTCTTGTAATGGCAGGAACAATGAGTTGTTGGGTCCATGGGTGGGATGCAAAATCCAGGTTCCTACAAAGTTTGTGATAGGTGAGCTTGATTTGGTCTACGCTATGCCTGGTGTGAAGGAATATATACATGGTCCCAAGTTTAAGGAAGATGTGCCTTTTCTTGAAGAGCCTGTGGTCATGGAAGGAGTGGCTCACTTCATTAATCAAGAGAAGCCTCAAGAGATTCTCCAAATTATCCTTGATTTCATCTCCAAATTCTAATCTTGATTTCCCTTAAAACTCTCTTGTAAGTTCTATAATAAGTTGAATTATGAGGATATATACATCCTCATGTATGGTTATAATATCCTAAATAACATATGTAAGTAATAGTACTAAAGTTGGATGCGTGCATATCATGTGACGTTCTTCTCAGTTATATATATAATAAAGTAATGACTTATATGTTTGATTAGTAGCTGTTGATAAACCTATTGTGCTATACGACCACAAGCTATAGGATGCTCATCTCAACAGCTCAGAGATTCTTCAGACCACCATGTTTACACAACAGTGTTTAAAGTTTTAAAACATTTTGTCTACTTTTTTTTTTCTACTGTTGAATACAAAATGTAACATTGGGTCTGATTGGTTGGGCTGTATCTTTACAGCTCAAAAAAAACTTAAAGCCTTAATATTGAACCAATCAAGCTTTACTAAAAAATTTCACAGTCCAAAACAAGTTTTTTTTAGTTTTTTTGCTGTAACTCTTAAAATTTCTACAACATATTTTTATGTGCTTTAAGAGCTGTAGACATTTTTTCTCCTATATTTAATTTTTTTTTACTGCATATTAGTACATATCTATTTAAAATATTTTTACTAAAGTGACAGAAAAATTATATAAACTATATATATATATATATATACATATTTCATTTCATTATTATAAATTATATATTATAATATATATTTTCACCAAAAATTGTATAATGTATTATTTATATATGAAACTTACTATTTATTATATGTTCATCTGTTATCGTATGTAATATATTGCAAATTTTTTAAATTAATATACTTCAAATATCAATCTATAATATTGAACTAACTTTACCAATCATGCTTTAGCTTTACTATTATAATACTTACAGATAAAAAAACTACAGCTACAGATACAGCCAACACGTATACAGCAGAAACTCTACAGCAAAAATTCTACAGTTACAGCTTAACCAATCACCCATATTAACAAAATAAAAAATGGACTTGAGAGCATCTATTTTTTTTTTTTTGAATGCCAGGAGGTTCTGGGCTAAAGTTCGTAATCTCTCCAGAACCGAAATCACATCATGTAATATTAGGTGGTGTTATTGGTTTGTGATTCAAATAGAGTTTTAGTGACTTTAAATGTTATGTGGAATCTGTTGTTATTCAATCAAATTTTTAAAAAGTTTGTTAAAGTTTTGTGTTATTAATTTAAGATTTGTAAAAAGTAATCTAAAATCTTTATAAATCTGGAGTTATTAGATTCATACTTTTATAAAGTCATTAAAAGTTTGGTGTTATTCAATTAAAACAAAAGAATCTATGATTGTTAATGAATTAAATTATTATGTTATTGGTTTATGACTTTTTACAATTTTCTTCACAAAATAAAGTCATGAAAAGTATTATCAAAATAGAGAGATTGTTTAGCAAACTTTACAAGATTATAAAAAATTAATCAATAAGATTATAGAAAACTCTCTAGCAATTGTGTAGAATCTTTCATTTCTTTACTTTCTATGATTTTATTAAAATCATCAAACTTTCTTGTAAATTAGGAACCAATAACACCCTTTTAGTTTCGTCCTAAGTGTCACTCGAACCGACGACCTCTAAAGTTCACCTAGAGTCTTTACCACTTGAGCTAACGACACTTGGTGAAAGCATCTATCCTCTCAACTTGGATTTCTTAATCTAAGTGTGAACACGAATTATATTCATATTTAATGGAAATGTTTTTCAATTAGACCAATCATTAAAACAAAGTGTAAGAAGAAGTGTCTTTCAACGTTTCTTTTTCTAACGATAATCCTTTCTCTCACTGCCTGATCTTGTAGCTCATTTGGTTAGAAGGCTAAGCTCCACCACATGAGTTCAAGTCATGGCAGAAGAGAAGGTGAAGAATCGTTTCTCTCACTCTCTCCTTTTTTTCTACATTTTTTCTTTATTTTAGTGGTGAGAGATTCTACTAGATACCACAGTTTGCCCAAAAAAAAATAGACTCTACTAGATACTATCGATACTGCTGCTCTCATATGTTTTAAGATAGAGTAAAATAAACAGTTGGAGAAAAGTTTTATCAAACGTCGGTGTATAAAGGAATACTTGTAGCTGGTTTTCTCGTTTATTTACTTGTCTATTATCTAGATCTCTTCTCCTCCTTCTCGCTAGCTTGTTTATTCTTCTTTTTGACGGTCATAGATTTTGTAAGTGTAACGGCAGTGCTGGTCCGGCATTTACGAGTACCCTACGCAAAGCTTCAAAACATGCCTTTTTCATATAACAAAAAAAAAACCATAACTAATAATAATATAACAATAAATCCTTATATAATGTTTACAAATTCAGTTGTAAAGAACCCCAGAAAAACAAGAGTTTAACTAATCATTGGATTTGCAGCTCTTTTTTAAAAATTCTACCAAGATGAAAGGAAAAAAAAACAATAACCTCAAAAACTATGATTTCTTACAAATCTACCAAGATGAAAGGAAAAAAATTCATAAGCAAAACTAACAATTAACCTCAAAAACAATGATTTTCACTTGTAAAAAAATCAGGGCCGTCTCAATCATAAGCTAGACCCTGTGTGGTGGTGAAAAATAATCCAACAATGTCGTTCTGCATCATCGTTAAAAACTCTATGTATTCAATCTTTCCTCCCTAAAACAAGAAAAGCAAAATGATGGGAAAAGGTTATTTTCATTCCCGTACAATTTGCAAAGGGAATATATACAAAGTAACCATGAATTCAAAAAGAATATACAAACTAACCATGAGCTACAGTAACATGTCGGGAACATGTCGGAATGCTTGTGAAATTACGTAAGTGTCCTTTGTAACACGTTTTTTTCTCGAATTACATGTTATAACGTAATATAGATCTTTTTATCATGTTATTTTCTCGTATTACACATGATTTATAAAAAGCACATGGTATTTCTTGAAAAAACATTCTATTTAGTTTAATATCTCTCTTTATCATGTTATTTTATAGTAATACATGTTTTTTCTTTAGATTACATGTGATTTCTTTAAAAAAAGATTCTTATTTTGTAATATTACACGGTTTTTTATTAAGATCACATGTAATTTTTGTTAAAAAAGATTTTTTTCAGGTTAGATTTTTCCATAACAATGTTTTTTCTTAAAAAATCACTATATTTTTTCAAATATCATGTATTTCAGTTTAATATAACATGTGAACTTTAAATGTTACATGCTATTTTGCAAAATCTCACGAAATTGTCTTGCATACGGTTGAACTTGCAACAAACGAAGGATGATTTCGTTATTTCACTTCTTCTGACAAGGTAGGACCATGGCTATTTTGTAACAAAAAATTTCCTCTCTGCTATTTACTTAATTTGTGTGTCTAATTTGGCTATTCAGTAATAATTCCCATTTGCAAATGTGGTTTCATACCTGAACAAATATGTAGGGTCAATTTGAACCTAAACCGTAAAAAATTTTGAATTTCATAACCAAATTTTAAATTTAGTGTTTTTTTTCCAGAGTCGTAATTAACCATTGTTTGTCAATTGTTACGGTTGCTGAGTCAACTAACACGTGTTTGATTGCGTAGCTTAAAACGACGTCATTGTGTTTGTTGGAATTAAAATTTTAATTTTTTTTTTGCAAAAAAACATGTCTCGAATGCCCCAAATCTCACTTGTCATGTGTAACGAGTTGTGTAAACGAGTGAGGTATCGGGGGTTCGAGACCCGATGTTTGCAAAAAAACCAAATAATCTAACTCCAACAACTCAACGACGTCGTTTTAGGTCACCTCATCAAACACGTGTCATTTGACTCAGCAACCATAACGGTTAACTAACACAAATTAATTACGACTCCGGAAAAAAAAACTAAATCAAAAGTTTGGGTATAAAATTCAAATATTTTTTGCGGTTTGGGTTGGAATTAACCCTACGTGTTTGTTTAGTTATGAAAATACACATTGCAAATTGTACGGGTATTAAAATATCCTTTTCCCGCAAAATGATCTCTGATCTTATACCATATAATCTCAAGCCCATAAGATTTGTATTCATACTTGTATCTTATATTGTCTTATTAGTTCAGATTTTATTAAATTAATTTGGATTAGAAAAAGGAATAAAATTTTGAATTTTGGTTGCACCTAGTGCAAATGCACCTCTTGCACTGGATCAATGACGGGTCTGGAGAAAACTAAATTGACTCACTAACCGTGCAAAAATCAGAAGGAGTATCTTGTCAAAGAAGAAACTGGAAAGTGGAAACTGTATCATCATTTTTTATTACTCTAGCATTTATGTTTTAGTTTTTTATAATTATATGCAAAAAAGCCCACAGATTAAAGGCCCTATAAAATAATTTATAGTATAGTCCTCAAATTAAAGGCCTTACAAAACAATTTATAGTATAATTACATATAGAAAAAACTTAGGCCTTGAATGGCTGCAGTTTTTAGAGTAGTTTTTAGATTATAATTGTGCAAAAATCTAATAATTACACATTCATGATTCTACAAAAAAATAGATTTCCTAAAAAATAGGGAAACCAGATTTTAGGAGATTATGGTTTTTCTTCATAGAATCCAAAAACCAAGTTTTGTGGGTTTTTCCAAACAATTGACGTCAATTTTGTTTTTTTAATTCTTTTTTATTAATATTAACTTAAAAACGTTTTAGAAAATTAATATTATGTAGAAAAACTAAAAACTAAACAAATTACCATTCAAGATTTTGCAAAAACTAAAATCTACACCAAAAATCAAAAACCACAAAAATCAAAAACCAAAAACCAAAATAAAAAAACTAGAATCTAAAAACCAATTAAAAACTACCAAACATTCAGGGCCTTAGTAAGTTTTTTCTAAAAAAATCCTTATATTTTGAGGACTGAATCCTTGGCTTCAGTAGCTGCCCTCTAGGTCGGGCCTCTGTAACGATTTCTAATTGAAAGAAATGTACTTTTATGATGTATTAACTTCTGCATCACTTAATTTTGTGTTTTTTTTTTTCTTTTAAAAGAAGTTTTGGGCCAAAGCCCATACTCTCCATTTACCGGGACAAGCCTTTTTCCTACAAAATTTCTCTCAGAAAAACCGCAACCCTTTCATTGGAGACTTCTCACTCAAGGGCCAAACTTCTCACTCTTTTGGAGGGGTCTAACACACGCCATTGGACCACGAGCTATTTGGTATGATGTACTAACTTTTTCGACACTTAAATTTTGTTTATTTTATTGACTTAACTAATTCACAATCTAAATAACAACAATGATTCAACATATAGAAGTGATCATAAAAATGGAAATAATTTTTCAAAAATGGTTATTAATTTTATTCCACCATTCACCGTGTTAAGAGTATGTAAAGCTTATCTTATTTTTCACAAATTTTTAGTAAACTAAAATGTTAGTATGGTTGATGTCAAAAAGAAAAATGTTAGTATGCATTGGGAAACTTTATTTTAGCAAATCAATTTTCTTAAAATCATATTTGTTTTAAGGGAATATTGCTGATTAGGGCCTTTTTTGGCCCAAAAATTTGTGAAATAGAACGAGTACCCATACTTACTCATTTAGGTATTTGGGCTTCGTCAAAAGACCGTTTTACCCCTACCCATTCTTCTCCTTCATTCTCTCTCGACTCCAACTCTGTGATTTCTCCGACCAAAATTTTTGATTTTGACCACAACCCTCCCTTTCCCAGTCATATCCGTCAACACCATATCTGTAGCGACCCTGAACCGTACTAGGAATAAATCCGGCTAGGCCCGTACATGTGACAAGTACTTCGTAAGGGCGGACCGGAGTTTTAGCACACAACTAGCACCTCAGTCTACTAATACTTGGTACCGTCCCTTCCAAACCCGATATTAGGCTTGCCAACCCTCTACCGAGAAAGGAAGTTATGCGGTTCGGACAGAACCTTATATCATCAAACCATCCCCATCTTTTTAAGAAAACCGATTCATACATAGTATAACTTTTACACAACAAGATACAAAACAATCATATACGGTTTTCGGGGATCCCAATTCAATTAATACATAATACACAATAATATCTTTTACACTTCTACCCAACCAATCTACACCAAGAACCTATTGTCCCAACGACCCTCTATGGTTTATCCCTCTAAGGTTACCTGCAACAAAAAGGTGGAGTCATAAATACTAGAGACTTAGCGAGTTCGGCGTCTGATCTCGGAAATTAAACTCCCCAAAAGTCCCCAAAAGAAAATAGATCAACAAGCAACAAGCAATCTAATATGCAACCTAAAAAATCAAGCAAACAAGCAACAAGCAATCTAACATGCAACCTAAACAATCAAGCAAACAAGCAATCAATAACATGCGATTACGACAATTAAATAAATCAGAGATACAGCGATTATGCAATACTACGACATGCAACCTATGGCCATGTGAACGATCCTTCCCATCAAACAAGTGAACAGTACATCTACAGCCACGAAGTCTATAGACGATGTACCACATGGGCCTTCCACGACGGACAATCCCCGTTACCTCGTCAGGTAACTGTTCGGCCCTTAGGAGCGACCCAGTCTCCCGGAACCCCCAAAACAAACAGGGAAGCGCACTCGAACACCACAAAACACTATATGCAAAGCAACTAAGCTACGAAAAATCGTACTTAAGCAATAAGCATATAAGCAGAAGCTATAAATCCACAACAAGCAAGGAAGCAATCAAGAAGAGAAAGATCGTGTGCCACCACACACGCTTCAGAACTCACTGTGATTAACGGAAGAAATGTGTGACGTGATGTGATGTCTTTGCGGATCTTGACTAGATCGGAAATCTTCAACTTTGGAACGGCTCTCGGAAACAACTTCTTCTCCCGGACTTGCTCACGGAGACTGGCGCGCACTCCGGAAGCTCGTCCTCCTCCTCCCTCCGTCGGCTTCTCGGCGGACAGGCAGCACTTCACCGGAACGTTTTCAGAGAGCTCTCTCACGAACTCTCTTTGTTTTGGATGAATGCCTTAAGCCTTGAAGCCTCTCTATTTATAGAGGAGGAAGGGTGGCGCATGGCGGACACATGTCGCACCTCCGACGACACATGGCGGAGCGCTCCGAACCCCCGTCACATCGCACGTGACAAATGGCGACGGACTTAGATCCTCGTCAAATCGATTCTCCCGATTGGCAGAGAGCTTCAACCCTCGTCACATCGCTCGTGACAAATGGCGAAACAACTACAGTCTCGTCAAATCGTCTCCTCCGGTTGGCGGAGAGCTTCCACCCTTGTCAAATCCTTAGTGACAAATGGCGGAACGACTACAGTCTCGTCAAATCGTCTCCTCCGGTTGGCGGAGAGCTTCCACCCTCGTCACATCGCTCGTGACAAATGGCGAAACAACTATAGTCTCGTCAAATCGTTTCCTCCGGTTGGCGGAGAGCTTCCACCCTCGTCACATCGCTCGTGACAAATGGCGACGATTTTCTTCCGACGACGACTACACATAAAACAAATCCCTTAAATAAGGGGAGGGGATCTTTTGTTTGGTAGCCAGAGCCAGCCAGTTTTTAACTAAATAGGCATCTTGTCTCCAAAAATCTTTCTCGAGATTTGGCCTCCAAAAATTCATCTCTTCCTTCCGATTAATTCTTTTTAACTCCGGCTTACGCTTGGTCCGATCCTTCAACAACACCCGATCGCGACCGAAAACTAATTTCGTCAAGTAAATAATATTCACTCAACATTCTCTTCATCCCTTAACGATCATTAGTCCTCCCTTGACTTTTATGACCTCCTTTAAATTTCTAAAATTATCGAACACGGCGTAACGCCCACCGGTCGATCTACGACAACTTCCTCGTACCGAAATCATCTTTTCTCGATAACTATTATTTTTCCTCGATGATTAAGTCCCCTTTCATGCTTCCGATCATTACTAACGAAAGGTGAACTCTTTTCCTTAGCTTCAAAATTTTAGTCTGGCCCGCGACTTCACGATCGTCCGTTCCGACCGTTCTTATGTCAAAGTACGGGTTACTACATTCACCCCCTCTCATTGGAATTCGTCCCGAATTCCCAATCAGAGAAATCCTCAACGTTCCTAACTTTAGTAAGAGCTTCCTCCTTTCAGATTCTTCATCATTGAGCTTCTTGGTTACTCTAATCCTTTAAACTTTTCAGTTTAATCAAATCGGAGTTCTACCTTTTTCGCCAAAGTTTTTGGTTTTGGATTCTCTCTAATCCTTACCGATTTTCTCCGAACAGATTTATATAACTCAACTCTATAATCAAACGATATTTCTCAACCACTCTTAACTATTTAGCTCGTGAATTTCGAAAAATTACACAAGGCCTTCTTCTTCTTCTCTTCCTTTGGATGATACTTCAACTCAAATGACTATCATCTTTATCTCCGTGTACCGATCATAACCTCATAATCGATCACACACCCAACCGATCATAACCTCACGATCGATCACACACCCAAGTTTAAATCTCTCGTAGATTCAACACTTGGATCTACACTCATTCTCGAAGATCAACACTTCTCGAATTGAACACAAAAACAACACATTACCGTAAACCCGCGATCCTTTCACTTGATCCGGTTCCTTTCCTTTTCTTACAGAATCTCATACTTGATCGTTTAATCTCAAGAATTTCCTCACTTGAGACTTAAACATCACAATACCACTTTAGTTATCTCACATAGATAAACTAAAACTCTTTCAAACAGTTCAAAAATTTCACACATTTTTGAAAGTTTTCTTTACAACATTCATCTCTTTTCCCATAGATGATTAAATACACATCACTACACAAAAATTCCGATTGTACTTCCATGTACATTCACATATCACAACACAAAATTTCTGTTTTGTACTTCCATGTACATTCACACATCACAACACAAAATTTCCGTTTTGTACTTCCATGTACATTCACACATCACAACACAAAATTTCCGCATCACATCACCACATTTTTCCTCTTCACATCACAACACAACACACAAAGTTATCCAACGATAAGACTTTGTTCAATCCATAAACATATCTTACATTCATATCATACATCCTTTCTTACAAAGGTGGGTTTACATATACCCATTCGAACTTTCTTACAATGTGGATTTATAACCACTACACCCTTGCTTCCATACTCTTCGCCGAAGCGATTACAACCAAATATTACAAACCTAAATGCAATGCTAGAATGAAATGCAACACGGAATCATACAATGAGTTAGAACCCTTACTTACCTCGCCGGAACCCAACAGTCTGAAGGTTTAGGGTAATCTTACTTAATACAAAGGTTTTTCTTCTTCTTCGTGGACGTACTCGGGCTTGGGCTTGACGGACGGGGATTCTCTGGACTCTTCCTTGGACACACGGTCGCATAATGACCTTGACCTCCACACTCATAACAAATCACGTACGGGCGAGCATAAGGATGATAGTGACGAACATAAGGACAAGCTCTCAGATAATGACCATCTTGGCCGCAAGTGAAGCAAAACGGCGTCACACTATAAGGTTCGGACCTACGTCCATCCTCTCGTTCCAACTCAGTCACAACGGTTCCATCCGCGGATCTCCTCATCCTTTCATTCCAAACGGGCATACTTTCGGGTGGTCGGATCGGTTCAATACCAAGGGTACCCGCAGCAATCATGTTCTCAATCATCGTAGCCATAGAACTAGATCCCAAAGTCACCGGGTGGCGGAGTATCCCGCAAAGTCTCACACTCAAACATCGGATCCGATACTTCTTCATCCACTTCCTCATCAACTTCTTCTTCCTCAGAACTCATATGGAACATCTCACTGCTAGCTCCATCATAACCATCATACCAAGTCCTACTCGCGAATCTCCTTGGTGAAATAGACATCCTCAACGGCTCGCTCTTCACATTGTTGGAAAACGGCACCCCATTTATCCAACTCATCCGCATCGGATAACTCACTATCCGACGAGATCTCAACAAAGTTTGGAGTCGGTGGAATAGGCGGTGTAGCAAACTCAACGTCGGGTGCTACCATGTTGTAAGCCAGCGCTTGCCTAGGAATCCCATATTCTGTCGGCATAAACACAACACAGTCAGAATCACGCGAAGCATTACCTTCCGAAGGTGCATCAGAAACACCAAAGTCTGTCCCCAAGGACATTGAGCTGAACGAATCCAACGTCAACAAGCTATCCGGCGTCGGAGGATAATAGTACGGATTCGCATGAACTCCTGGCTGCCACGAGTCATCGGAATTGAACTCATACAAAACTCCATCGGGGCCTTCCCACATAGGCTCATCAATATCGCTATCTCCGAATAGAAAACCAGTCGCCATCTGCTCTTCAGACTCTTCTAAAGATTCACCATCAGAATCGTCGGAAACCACAACAAAGTCAGTGATCGGAACATTCCCGAAGCTTCCTCCCAAAGCAACCAAAGGCACGTCTTCGTCAGACTCTGCACTAGTCTCGACATCATCATCCTTAAACTCATCAAGATCCTTCCAAGGGTCAGTCTTAACGAAACTGTCCGATCCTTCCATCTCTCTCGTATGAATGGATTCAACCGAGGTCACCGAAGGACTCATAGCCATGAAAGACTCCGATTCCGTTCCCTCCAACATTCGCCTCACATGTTCCGACGGAATCACGGAATCGTCAAAACTACCATCATTATTCCCGTACGGATTGTTACTTGGTCCAGCACTTGACAAAAATCCCCACGGTCGTCCACCCCGAAGCCTAGTATATCGTGACGGTATCTGCATCACCAAAACAAGGTTAGTCCTAAAATTTCCATCTACTTAAATCCCACGTTGGAATAACTTGGTTTATCCTAAGGTAGAAGTGCGACTCTAATTTTTGACTCGATAAAACATTTGAAAAGCGGGATGGTTCCCGAGCATCTGTTACCATGCTCTGATACCACCTAATAATGTAGCGACCCTGAACCGTACTAGAAATAAGTCCGGCTAGGCCCGTACAGGTAACAAGTACTTCGTACGAGCGGACCGGAGTTTTAGCACACAACTAGCACCCCAGTCTACTAATACTTGGTACCGTCCCTTCTAAACCCGATATTAGGCTTGCCAACCCTCTACCGAGAAAGAAAGTTATGCGGTTCGGACAGAACTTTCTATCATCAAACCATCCCCATCTTTTTAAGAAAACCGATTCATACATAGTATAACTTTTACACAACAAGATACCAAACAATCATATACGGTTTTCGGGGATCCCAATTCAATCAATACATAATACACAATAATATATTTTACACTTCTACCCAACCAATCTACACCAAGAACCTATTGTCCCAACGACCCTCTATGGTTTATCCTTCTAAGGTTACCTGCAACAAAAAGGTGGAGTCATAAATACTAGAGACTTAGCGAGTTCGGCGCCTGATCTCGGAAATTAAACACCCCAAAAGTCCCCAGAAGAAAATAGATCAACAAGCAACAAGCAATCTAACATGCAACCTAAACAATCAAGCAAACAAGCAACAAGCAATCTAACATGCAACCTAAACAATCAAGCAAACAAGCAACAAGCAAACAAGCAATCAATAACATGCGATTACGACAATTAAATAAATCAGAGATGCAGCGATTATGCAATACTACGATGCATGCAAGGGTAAATGATAACAACAACAACAAAAATCCTATGGCCATGTGAACGATCCTTCCCATCAAACAAGTGAACAGTCCGTCTACAGTCACGAAGTCAATAGACGATGTACCACATGGGCCTTCCACGACGGGCAATCCCCGTTACCTCGTCAGGTAACTGTTCGGCCCTTGGGAGCGACCTAGTCTCTCCGAACCCCCAAAACAAACAGGGAAGCGCACTCGAACAGCACAAAACTCTATATGCAAAGCAACTAAGCTACGACAAATCGTACTTAAGCAATAAGCATATAAGCAGGAGCTATAAATCCACAACAGTTCTACGACTAAAAACCACAATCAACAACAAACAACAATACAACAAGCAAGGAAGCAATCAAGAAGAGAAAGATCGTGTGCCACCACACACGCTTCGGAACTCATTGTGATTAACGGAAGAACTTCGGAACGGCTCTCGGAAACAACTTCTTCTTCCGGAACTCATCCACGGACTTGCTCACGGAGACTGGCGCGCACTCCGGAAGCTCGTCCTCCTCCTCCCTCCGTCGGCTTCTCGGCGGACATGCAGCACATCACCAGAACGTTTTCAGAGAGCTCTCTCACGAACTCTCTTCGTTTTGGATGAATGCCTTAAGCCTTGAAGCCTCTCTATTTATAGAGGAGGAAGGGTGGCGTATGGCGGACACATGTCGCGCCTCCAGCGACACATGGCGGAGCGCTCTGAACCCCCGTCACATCGCACGTGACAAATGGCGACGGACTTAGACCCTCGTCAAATCGATTCTCCCGATTGGCGGAGAGCTTCAACCCTCGTCACATCGCTCGTGACAAATGGCGAAACAACTACAGTCTCGTCAAATCGTCTCCTCCGGTTGGCGGAGAGCTTCCACCCTTGTCAAATCCTTAGTGACAAATGGCGGAACGACTACAGTCTCGTCAAATCGTCTCCTCCAGTTGGCGGAGAGCTTCCACCCTCGTCCCATCGCTCGTGACAAATAGCGAAACAACTACAGTCTCGTCAAATCGTCTCCTCCGGTTGGCGGAGAGCTTCCACCCTCGTCACATCGCTCGTGACAAATGGCGACGATTTTCTTCCGACGACGACTACACATAAAACAAATCCCTTAAATCAGGGGATCTTGTCTCCAAAAATCTTTCTCGAGATTTGGCCTCCAAAAATTCATCTCTTCCTTCCGATTAATTCTTCTTAACTCCGGTCGCATAAACGACACGGCTTACGCTTGGTCCGATCTTTCAACAACATCCGATCGCGACCGAAAACTAATTTCGTCAAGTAAATAATATTCACTCAACATTCTCTTCATCCCTTAACAATCATTAGTCCTCCCTTGACTTTTATGACCTCCTTTAAATTTCTAAAATTATCGAACACGGCGTAACGCCCACCGGTCGATCTACGACAATTTCTTCGTACCGAAATCATCTTTTATCGATAACTATTATTTTTCCTCGATGATTAAGTCCCCTTTCATGCTTCCGATCATTACTAACGAAAGGTGAACTCTTTTCCTTAGCTTCAAAATTTTAGTCTGGCCCGCGACTTCACGATCGTCCGTTCCGACCGTTCTTATGTTAAAGTACGGGTTACTACAATATCCGTGCTCCATCAACATCATATCCGTCGCTTTCAACACCAACTCCTTTGTTTCCGAAACACAAAACCTCCGCCGCTAACATCTTTTCCGATCCCAAGAATTCAATCAAATACGTTTTGAATAAAGAAGCTAAACCCTAAGGGGATACTATCTAGTAAACCCAAGGGCTCAAATCTAAACATTAATCAAATCAAAACTACTAAATCTATCTTTAAATCTAAACAAAATTTGTCACTGAATCTCATCATCTCCTCATCCGTCACCGGATCTCATCGTCATCACCACCATCTCGTTTACAGTGTCTGCATCTTCGTCTCATCTTTTGACCGACACCACCAGATCTTGATCGACACCATTATCTCTGAAATTTCTCACAAACACATGAAACACAAAACTGTGGGTAAGGGTAATGTAGACATTTTACGTTAGGAGAAAATGCCTAAAACGTATTGCTTGATAGATGTACCGGAGTTGGTAATTTTGGTTGGAATAAAGCTCAACCCGGTAATTGATTCTTGTTTTAAAGGTCGTATCATCCCTCATGGGTTTTCCACAGATTCAATTATCAAATTCATCATCTTATTACATTAGACTGAGAAAAGGACTATAGTTGTTCCTGATAAAAATGTGTAACTCTGATATAAACTATAATGTTTACAGAAGTGATCATAGATATGAAAAAGAAGAGATCATTTGTTTGTTTTCTCATGTTCATATTCTTCTCAAGTCTGGTCTACTCTTTGCTAGAGGAATACTTCAAGATGATTCACAACTAGATGGGATCGGTTGCTCTTAATTTTAACAGATACCTCTCGATCAAAGCTCTGCAATCTCGTCATTTTATACACCTTCCTAGCTGCGATTCATAGGCTATGGAGTGAAAGAAAATGGTCCTCGCCATGGAAGATCTCCAATCTCGGCCCAACGTCTAACTCGTCTTATTGATAAAAATATCCAGAACAAGTTCAGTCTTCTCCGAAATCATGGAGGATATGAAGGAGGGATCATATTCTGGTTACAAACTTATATCTAATTCTTTTGAACTTTCTAAATCTTTTTTTTTCAAAATTTTAGCTCACTAAAAAGTATATATTGTAAAACAGGTTTTTTTGTTAGAATAAAATGTTTACATTCTTTCAAAAAAAATTTCTATTTTGATGCACTGCACCATATTTCTGGAAAGAGCATACTTCTGACCAAGAATCTTAAAATTTGAACTCCAAATCAAGCTCCGCTATCACCCTCAACAGATCGAGAGGTTGCTTCTCATCATTAAGCACATGTTTTCTTATGACAATCAATTGCATTTCAACTTTTACACTAAGTTGACCCTCTGACATGTTCACTATTGTTGGCATTGGTGGCCTATCAACAGCTGTAGGACTTGTAAACATGATAACAACTTCGATTTCCCTCAATAACTCATCGTTGTCATTTCTTTGTAGTCGCAGATCTACAAACTGTGCCAACTTGTTCTGCTTCCATAGTTGAAGCAGTTGAAGAACACAAAAATAAAATCATATTAGTTAAGAGATCTTATGTAAACTAATAATTTCATAAACTATAAAGTATTATTACCTAATCGACAAATATATCTCCTCACTATCTGAAGAGGGAGTTGTGTTGATCTTTCCATTAACAACTTCCATAACAACTACACCAGAGCTGTAAACATCAGTTATCAGATAGAAGGTCTTTGTATACATATTCTGGTATCATGTATCCGCTGCATGCAATAATTTGCATACATATATATATAAAATTCATGCAACGAAGAACAATACTTTCATTAATTTGACTTACAATAAAATTCAATATACTAAACTCAATGTGTTAAAATTCAAGTAATTTATACATTTGTTATATTTTGGTTATGATTTCTTACTAATCAAATATATGTGCTTTTTTGGACATTTTTGTGCATTTGTTATGAAAATTTCGAGCATTTTTGTGATTGTTTTGCATCTTTATCTCATAGTCCAAATGCAAACCACCAACTAAATAGGATTGTTTTATAATTATTAACAGGTTAATATTTGAAATAATCATATTAAAACATAATGACTTACTAGCAAGCTTTTTCAAAGTGGAAACTGTTTTGGATTTGGTCTTGTTTCTACATGCAAATGTTAAAAAGCTCACTCTCAATTGGAAGTATTGTACAGTGATGAAAACTAACAAACCTAAATGTGTAAAAATCAATACGTAGTAATCTTAACTTTAATAGATTGAGTGGATCATTCCCTAGCATGTATGAAAATGTTAGAAATGTTGAAAATATATAAGACGAGTATCTTTGTGGTTTGTTAAAGATCCTATACTATTATTTGGGGAGTACATTTAACAATTACCCTTAATTAACCTTCCCATTTGTAAGAATTTACTTAAGAATGCCATTACAAAAAGCTTATTTTAGAACAAATTTCATTCACTTCATTAAAGTTATTAAAGACAATTAGCACACTATCCATTTCAATAAACGCGGGTCAATGGGTTTTAAAATGGGTTTAATAAGATATCCTAAACAATAAGATCTAACATTTTCTATCCTAAACAACAACACCAAACAATTAATTCTTAATTACTTAAATCTCTTTTCATAACATATTTTCTGACATAAACCCTTTTAAAAGAAACGTGCAAGATAAAACACTCATCATTAGGTTCTCTGAATCAAAGCAGAAACGTTTCTCTTCATATCTAGGGAAAATAAGCATCATCATTCATTATTAGTTCTCTGAATCGAAGCTGAAACGTTACTCTTCATATCTAGGGAGAATAGGCCTCATCATTCATTATTAGGTTCTCTTAATCAAAGCTAAAACGTGTATCTTTATATATAGGGAGCATAAGCTCATTATTCTAACTCACTAGAAAAAACACAAAACAAAATCATCAATCTCTTCATATTCCATGGATTATATCTCTGACTTGGGGATGGAGAAGACCAACTGGCGGATTCATGTCAAGATTTTGTGTTTGTGGAATAATCTTCCAAGAAGAAATGGTGAGGAAACAAGCATTCCGTCTTCAAGAAAGGAAAGATGAGAAACATGTTTTACTTCGTTCCAAGCGCTTGCTTCAGTAGTTCATTGTTGATGCTTACACTATGACTGAGTCAAACAGGCTGAGATTTATTAAGAAGAATCAACCAAAGTTCTGGAGTTGTAACTTAGAATCTATTCAGAACGCATCTAATGTTGGAAACAATGATTTGGAAAATCAAGGTAGAGAATTTAAGATTCCAGCTTCCTTTACAGGGGGACCACGGTACATGACCAACAATTATTTGGATGCAATGGTTATTTGCAAACACTTTGGATTTTCAGATCTTTTCATAACATTTACTTGCAATTCTAAGTTGCCTGAAATAGTTAGATTCTGTAAGGAGAGGAATTTAAAGCCTGATGATAGACCAGACATCATTTGTAGCATCTTCAAGATGAAGTTATATAACCTAATGTATGATCTAACTACCAAGAAGGTACTTGGGAAGACAGTTTCAGGTATTTATTATTTGAAGCTGTTATCTAAATTATTAGCACCTCTAATTGATATAGCCTAAATGTTTATTGATTTATATGTTTTGTTGTTTTTGCAGCGATGTACACAATTGAGTTTTAGGAAAGAGGCCTTCCACATGCACACATATTGTTGTTCATGCATGCCACCAGTAAGTTTGCTACAGCAGAAGACATTGATAAAATAATATCTGCTGAAATTCCAGATACGGTGAAAAAAGCAGAACTGTATGAAGTGGTTAAAGACTGTATGATTCATGGGCCATGTGGTGCTGGTTATCCTAATTCACCATCGATGGTGAATGGAGTTTTTTCCAAAAAAGATTACCAACAACACTAGGGTTGATGATGATGGGTTTCCAGTATATAGAAGACATAACACTGGTATTTACATTGAGAAGAATGGTTTTCAATGCGATAATCGTTACGTGATCCCATATAATGAGAAGCTATCCCTTCGTTATCATGCCCACATTAACGTTGAGT